TTTGACACACAAGTTCCCACATTTTAAAATTTCTTGGAACCTTGATTTTCTTGAGCCTACATACTTAGAAATTTGGGAAGGGAGAAGATTAATATGGGATAATTAAGGAAGTTCAAAAAAAAGAAAAAAGAAATTAACTACTATCAACACCACCATTTCTTTAAAATGCAGACAGGACAATTTCTGAGATTTTAGAAATGTTTATCCCAAAGCCACTTCATTATCTTTATTTTTATCATTTTAAGGACCTGTCTAATCCTTGGGATTGGTATCTGAGTATCAGTAACTAGCAGGTAGGTCAATCCACATGTGCACGTGGTAGCAAAGCTGTGTTTCTCACTGTCGCTCTTGGACTCGGGGCCTGGGCTTTATGCCCCTGTGCTGTAAGAGGAGACCCACAGTGAAACTGTAGGTGAGAAAAGGGTCACCTCAAGCAAATGGCCTTAAGCAACTCATTTAGTCTACTGGTGTCTCGCTTTTCTTATCTGCCAAGGGGGACAAGGCTGTACACTGTGCAAGTCCTGCGCTGCGCCACTGCTGTGCTGCCACCTAACGAGAAGGACAAGTGTTTAAACAGTGTCATGGGGCACACGGTGAATTAGCGTGTCACAGTGCTGGTGACATGCTAATTCTTCAGTGCATGGCAGGTTCACGGCTCCCCATTTTGTTTTCAAGCTTTGCCATCTACCTATGGTATACGGAATCCCCCACATGCTTAAATGGTTATATAACATATTTTAAGGCTACTATAGAAATTTAAAGAATTATTATTAAACTTTTTTTCATTTATAGCAAATACTGGGATTCCAGTGAAATTTATTGAATGTATTATCCTGTGGCTACATGTAACTCTTACAAAAGCAAGGTGTTGTTTTGTTATATTTGGCATAGAAAATTATTAACTTATGATAGATTTATATATGACTGCTTAAAAGAATCTGGATAATTGTTTTACAATAATATCTTTAACTTAAAAAAAACTATGATTTTCAAGCTTTAAACTGAACTCTGGCATTTGTAAAGAAAGAAACTTAATAAAATGCCATCATGAAACCTTTTTTTCTGAAGATATTTTCAATTAAGTGATGTACAGATACCACTTACAACATTTTTCATTCTTTCTGAATAGCCAACTAGAAAGTATTGATTGGAAAATGTAAAAAAGAACATATAACCTAAAGTAAACATTATTAACATAGTAAAAACTAAATTCTGCTAGCCAGGATATAAACATCTTGACTTTCAAGATATAGGTAAATACTGTTTTTATAGAAATTTTAATTAGTTACCGATAGAGCAGATTTGAAAAACAACATAAGACCAACACACAAACACACGCACACTCACAGAGACATAGGCATGTTTAATGTACCCTAAAGAATAAAGGAGAAATGATAGTCTCTCTCTTATTACCGTTCAATGTGTTACATATTTTTAAATCAAGTGCTGATTTTCTTTTCCTTAGAGAATTCATTTCTTATGAGTGACCTAGGCTATAGCCAAAGGATACAAAAATGAATTAAGTATTATTTTAACAAGAATTATTTCAACATTTGGGATTTAAAAATATATCTGTATCCAGCCAATAAGCTAATTAAATTAATTGTGATCCTTCTTCCTTCTCAACATGGCTATCATTCATACCTAGCTTCTCACCTGCGATAGGAGAATTTTTTTTAATAAACATAGTATCAGTTTAGGCAAGTGGTTCTCAAAATGTGATCCTAAGATTAACAGAGTCATCGCCTGGGAATTTGTTGAAATATAAATACTCAAGTCCCACTCCGGCTCTTCTAAATGAGAAACACGAGGCTGGGACCCTCCAGGTGATGCTGATGTAGGCCAGAGTTTGAGAACCACTTGCCTATAAGCAGCAAAATACATATATAACTCCTACTATTACAGTCAGAACTGATCTCCTCTCCAAAAGCTGGTATGCAGAGTTCTTAAATGCTGAGTCACCCCACAAGGCATTTTGGTTAGGCAGCCACCAGCCACCCTCAGTCGTGACACCAACCTCGGTGGCGGTGGTCTCCCCATCTGCCGCGGTGTCCGTGCGCTCACTGTCAGTCTGTGGACCACAGAAGTGATCGGGTTCCAAGAGCAAGGCAGGGATAGAAAATAAACCATCTGGTCAAACAGGGTCTGGCATAGGTCAGACAGTTCATTTTCCTCCTCTGTGATCTGTATCATGTTACCATCCCACGAGAATGTGGGTTCAAGCAAAAGCAAAAAGAAGGGCCAGAGCTGGGTGTCGTTGGCAGAGCTCACTCAGAGGAAGACCCGAGGCGCCCAGCCTGCAGGAGCTGCAGGAGCTGCACTGCCCTGTCTGGTTCTATGTCTCCGGAAAACCAATTTGTCATCCCCACCCACTACCTTTTAACTACAGCCCAGAACAAGATCTCTTAAAAGTGTTTAATGCAAATAAAATTAATGTTTATATATTTTATTCCAGTAATACGTCACATTAGAAAGGTAAACAAAATGTAAATTTATATTAAAAGCTACTGTAACAGTCACTGGACTTTCAGCCCCTCATTTATACCATTTTGGTAATTTATATCCATTTATGGCCATAAGGCTGTCTGCATTACCTATTAATTACAAAAGGCGCATGCCAGTGACTCATGGGCATATGTTTTATATAAGAAAAATGTAACTCAATTTTCAAGTAGCATTGCTAACTAGATGTTTTTAAGACTATATGTTGTGTTTATTTTGCCCCACCCTCCAATATAAAGAGGTATATCAAAGTATGTACTTAAACATCTTGTTCCAAAATACCATTCAAATGAAGCAAATAATAATAATTTTAAAAAATAGAGAAAGAGAGAGACATCTACTTGGAAACAAATAAAACAAAGCACAGCATTTGACAGAGCCTACAGGTTTTTAAGGGAGAATGAGAATAGTCATTTCAGGACTGGTTTTTAATCTGTTTCATAGGGGTTTATGATTTAAAACAAAAACTATTTTTTCTTGAGTAGAGCCATGGATGTCTAAATGCCCTGATATAATATTGACTGACTTCCCCTCCACAAACACCAACTCATAATTAATAAAATTCCCTTGATCAAAAATTTGTAATTAATATTTTGAAAACAAAAATCAGAACTGGTAGTCTAATAAGATTATGAATCTGCTTCTTAAAATAATCTCTTATTCTGAAGAATAAGAAATGTCAAGAAGGGACGACTGGGACAGTGTTGTTTCCATTGACATGACTGGCGATGCTGATTGCTTGGCCCTCTCCTCAAGTTTCATCTTACATATTCCTGAAAGAAACGGAGTCGGGATGCACTCTCGGCACCTGGGCCCAAGGACACCATTCTGGCAACCCTGCCACCAAGCCCAACATGATTTTCAGTAGGTTGGTAAAGAAAGCGTGCTGACACATTTTCACGACCTGACCAGTTCAGTTAACAACTGGGGGTGGGGCGGTTATTAGTTTTCCTGTAAGAGTGATCGTTGCTATGGTATTAGCATGGCTTCACCAACTGACAGCCGGGAAAGGCCAGTTTGAATTAAAGAGAGACTGGCTGTTTGTTCAAATGTACAGAATAACTCCAAGATCTTAGGCTTTCATGAAAAAGTAAGAATGACTTGTGCTTAGTGTACTAATTAGTTACGTCAAATACTTCTAAAGTTCTTGAACATACTTCTCCTCCCTTATAGATTATTTCTCTCATGGTTTTAAAATTCACTCAATTAACTTTCAAGTATCACACCATTAGAGTACATAGTTAAGAGTGAGAGGGGTTTGATGTCAGACTGACAGGAACTCAGATCATTGTTGTTCAAACCTGTGACACACTGAGTATTTTTCCTATTTTAATCCCAGCTTCCTTACTGTAAAATGGGGGAAATAACAGCCCTAACTGTATTGGGTAATGGATGCTGTAATGTCTGACACACACAGACCTAAAAACGCCTATAATAATTGTATTAATATTAATATGACATAATTAGGACCACTATTTTTCCTAGCCATACACAAATAGCTTAGTCTGTTTCTAAACTCTCTCAAATTCCTACTTAGCATTTAGTCAGTCAACAGCATAGTCCTGATCAATAGTCAACAGATGAAGTAATAAAGGCTGAACAAAGCAGCTTTTATAGCAACTGTTATTTATATAATGTACTATGACTACACAAAACTGCAAATGTACAGCACAACATAAACTATCATATAATACTATGTTTACATAATTTAAAATGTTATAAATCAGTTGACCAATTAGTTTTTCTTCCAAATTCAAATCCACCTCCTTTTTCTTTGTATCATTAAAATACTACTCAGAAATTCACAGATAGTCAACATTTTATAGTATGGGGAGCTACATTCATCTTATGTTTCTTGATAGATGATTTGATATTCTGCCCCTTCTTATCTGACCATTCTGAAAGTACAAAAGGAAAAAAACAACTGGCCAACAGCTTTATCATTTGAAATGACTAAGCCTTTTTATACTGGGTTTAACTCTTGAGAAAGGCTAGAACTAATTAAGCCACTATAACATGTAAAAAAAAATGTAAGCAGTGATGATACAATGTTTAAAAAAAGTTATGGTCATTTGTGATTTTGCAAAATCAAAGTGACAGAGCTGAATTGTATACTAAAAAGTCACCCAGTATAGCTGCCAACGTGCTTGAGGCCTAGAGAATTAAACAGGCCATGTAAGTAAATGGGATTTTTTTTTTTTTTTAAATGAATGACCTAAATACGAGTCCTCTAGCTCAGCTTGAACTGGAACGTACAGCTCTTAACACTTAGAGTTAAGAGACAACATTGCACAGATGGCCAGATGCAACGTCTAGTGGCAGGAGAGCTGTAATAGGCTAACTAAGGCTGCAGAGGAGGGTGAAGAAGACTGCAGTGGTGACAGCTAACTCATGGTTTCAGAGGTTTGCAGTAACGAGGACAGTCATGACTGGGAAGCTCTGGTCACGCGTTCACTAGCTTGTAACAATTAACTGCTGTGATTTGTTTTGCCAATGTAATGCAGACATGCCCAAGTTTAACATTAATTCTCATGCACTGATTACAACAAGATGTATACCCTGGATTAGGCACAAGATCTGTGTGGTTTGCTATATAAAAGTTCAAACAGTTATTTAGAATTTAGAAAAGCATAACGCAGCAATCTTTTCTGCTTCATGTTAGCTTGATGGCTAACTCTAGTGCTAAGGGAAAATATAGCTCCATGTTAGAAATCAGCTAATATACTAAACAGTCATTGTAGATAATATTGTGTTCTTAACTGTAGTGTGTTCTAGCCCTACACTGTTTGATAATATTGGCACTGTGAGAAATAGGGATTTTAAAACTCAGGATTTATAGTAGTTCTCGAAATATTTTCCATGTATAAAAATAGTTATTTACAGATATCTATATATATGTCTATATATAGACATATATATGTCTATATGGAGCTAATCATCATACCTGAGAACCTGGACAAGAACTCTTAGGCTAGGGGCCGGGCGTGGTGGCTCACGCCTGTAATCCTAGCACTCTGGGAGGCCGAGGCGGGCGGATTGTTTGAGCTCAGGAGTTCGAAACCAGCCTGAGCAAGAGCGAGACCCCGTCTCTACTAAAAATAGAAAGAAATTAATCGGACAACTAAAAATATATATAGAAAAAATTAGCCAGGCATGGTGGCGCATGCCTGTAGTCCCAGCTACTCGGGAGGCTGAGGCAGTAGGATTGCTTGAGCCCAGGATTTGAGGTTGCTGTGAGCTAGGATGACGCCACGGCACTCTAGCCCTGGCAAAAGAGTGAGACTCTGTCTCAAAAAAAAAAAAAAAAAAAAAAAAAAAACTCTTAGGCTGTATCAATTGAAAAGCCTAGACTTTTATTTAAAACACCTGTGAGATATTTTTTTCCTTCTGCTGCAAAGAAATGGTCATAATACCACTAAATATAGGTACTTACTCTGGCAATTCTATACACTCACAGGTGCGGCTCAAATTATGACTTTCTAGCTGAGCACAAAACTGAATAGACTTTCTTTCCTTTTTTAGTGTTGCCTTGACTCTGAATTTTTTTTTTAAATGCTAAGAGTATCTGGCTTGTCTCCGGCGACAACAGCCCGTGTTCTGCGGGAACAGGAGAGCCGGAGGGAGCCTGGGGAGAGGTGTGCGCAGGAGTGTGCATGACAGCGGGCGACTCTGGTGGCGGCTTCCGTTCTTTCTGCCTGTGCTCTACTTGAAGCCTGGAGAAAGGGAAACTGCTGGGCCGTTCACGGGGCTGTGGCGTGGTGGGGAAGGAGAGCAATTAAGAGGAAAAACTACTGCTCCCACATCAGCTCACAATTGCTCAGGTGAGGGACGGGAGCCCAACCGGTGGCAGTGTGCCTGCAAGGACAGAGGCTGATGGCCTGGGATCTTGCTGCCACTGTATCCATGCCTGGATGACAGCCACAGAGGCCTAGCCAACTTTCCTGACCTTACCACACAGTGAAAATGGGGAGATTTTTTTTTCTCATGCCGGCATTGGAAGAATCACTGCATCTGATATCTGCACTGGCATTGCTAACGCTGATGAGACTGCAGCCCATTTTTGTAACGTGGAGAAACCTTAATTTAGTCTTTTCCTGATTGTTTTGAACACTGCTGCACTGCGTGCAGTTCTTTTTGGCCCTACCGATGACTGATGTCATGTGGGTGTTTTCAACTGCTCTAGAAGTTCTTTTGTCCCAGCATATCGTGGGATCTGATCCTCCGACCTCTGTGAGTAACAATGACCGTCTGGCAACGTCAATCAGAGGGTGGGGGGTGCGTTTCAGAATCTCCAGGGGGGAGATGCATTTGTAATTTTGGAAAGCTACTGAGGTGACGATGGTGCTTCCCCTGTGCTGGGGCTCTCTCCCCCTCTCCCCTTCAATATCATTTCAGTTGAAAACTACTGATCTGTCTTCTTACATGTGACTGACTTTATTAAATGACAGCTGATCGGAACCTTTAACTTAGCACTGATCTTTTGCACAGCTAACGGGTTCTTTAAAATTGACTTCTGGCTGAGTCCTTTACCCCACATAGAACTCAGTGGGTAGCAGAACGATTCCAGATTGGGCTCAGACTGCTACATCCACATGGTGTTGTGCCTAACCCTGGGGCCCGGGTTGGACTCCCCAACACACAAAAACCTCAACATATTGGCACAGACAATAAATGAGGCTCTGAAAGTAGGACCACTCTCGCAGCAGCCGGCTAACACTGTTTCGGACCGAAGCACGGAACACGAAGGGGAAGCGTGTTCTATGCCGAGGTACACACCTCTTCCTCTGAACTGTCACTCGGGTCATTGTCTAGGGAGGCGCTCAAGGAGGCCGCCTTGGGCTCCAGGTAGCAGAGGCACAGAGCCAGAGGGAAGGAGAGAGTGAGAGCGTATGGCACTGAGAAGGAGGCAGACAGCAGAAAGAAAAAGATGAAGAGGAAACAGGGCACGAGCGAGGGTGAGCGGATCGGGAGGTAATGCTGCAAGCTCTGGGGCAGGAGGTTGGTTTCAGAAAGGTTGGGGAAAGAGAGGTACCCGTCATCATCTAGGAGGGAGGGGAAGGACTCAGGGAGCTGCAAGGAGAAGGAGAACAGGGTGGTCCCTTTGCCAGTTTGCTGTCTGTAGCTAAAAGCCACATCTTGCTCCCCTAGGTAAGGCTTCCCTTGGCCGTCAGAGTCCAGGGAGGGCTCTCCGCACACGTGCTCAGCTTTGGACGGCTCACAACCTGGCGGTTTGCACTCGTTCTCCTTACACCTCCTACGCAGCTCTGTGGGAGAGGCAGGGGCACAATGGGCTGATGGGGGTGACAAGGGACATGAGTCAGTGCCAAGCCCAGGTGACTGATGTGAAAGAGACAGAGAGAGACAGAAAGCAGCAACAGAGGTGCAAAAGGACAAAAAGAAAACTGCAATTAGTTAATTTTCTTACGGGTATCAATATAAAATTGTAAAACAAGAATTTTAGCACTAGGGTTGCTCATGAATTTAAAGTATCCAAGCTGCATGCCAATGTTGCCACGAATGGCTACAGTTCTCCCATTAGACCATCAAATACAGGGTGGGTTTTTTTTTTTTTTAAAGTCAGAACAGAAGGTATTTATGGGCAATCCCAAAGTCTAATTGTTACACATGATCAAAAAATTTTGTTTTAGGCCAAGAACTCCAGAAAGTTTTAGAGTTTTGAGACCAAACATAAATCTCTGATAACTTAAAATCAAGACTTTCAATAACCTTCCCCCAATCTCCAGATAACAGAGCTGTTACTATAGTTCAGCTGGGTTAAATGAAATTCAAAATTCCAAATTTTGATTATTAAAAGAAAAATCTCTAGCATTACTCCTTTCTTTGGTTAGTCAATTACATCCCAAACAGGTAAGTTTCTGGCCCCACTCCTATCTGATAAGCAGTTATAGTCAGGGGATTCAACAGTGAGCATTTCAGCAACTCTAATTCCCCACAAAGAATTGCGGTTCCCTTGAAAACTCTTCTATTTTGGCTCCTTTATCTAGGATGTCAGTGGAACTTCAACTCCAGTAAGTGGTTTCAACAAGCTAACTAGCAAAAAGAATGTATTTTCTTGTAACATGGTTGGTGTTTACTTTCTGTTATTTATGATCCATAAATAATAGAAAGATATAATTTCCTAGCCTTCTGATCTTTCTTAGCAGATAAAAGACATGTTCAGACCTTTGGTGTGAGCCCTAAATATAACGATAACAGCAAGCATTCCTACAAAAGTGCTCCTGCGGTGAGCTCAGGGTTTTATGGGGCAAGCCTAGTTCCCATCCCCTCTGGGCCCTGGAGGTCTCCACGACGAAGGCCAGTTTCCTCTGCAGGCAGCGGAGGGGCCACTGGACAAGGGGAAGAAGGAAAGACAGCAGCCCCAGGCAGGACCTGGGCAGGCACAGGAGCTGCTGTAGCCTGGGAGTTTAAGGCAAGGTCACCTGGAGGCTGAAGCTAATTAGACTTCTGCTGCTGTGACCGTGTGTGTGTGTACATGGTTTTTGCCTAGCGACCTGACAGCACGGAAATTACCCAACCTGCCTCGTGCTGGCTATCCAATCCTGACTTGGAGAGAAGAGGTAAATATAGCAACAGAAGGAAGGAAAATGTACAAATAAAATTATATCTGCGGCATGAAGGAAAGAAAATGCACCAATAAAATTATATCCTGGGCATATCACAGCATTAGAGGTGTCTCTTTTTACTGAGACAAGTATGTCTTTTCTCACACACTCACATTAAACACTGCATTTTAAACAGGAACCTGCACAAATTTCATTCAGCTAAGAATAATGTAGAAGTTACAAGCCGCCTTCTGCATGAAGACAACGGTCCTGCCGCAGCGAGGTGAGGCTGCCCGGTCACCCGGGAAACACGCCTCCTCTCCAGGCAAGCCAGGGGACCAGTCTTTTAAGAACTATTTTCAGTAATACAGTTTCATGTTGGTTAAAAAATAAGTACCTTCTATGATACTTTTTGAAGGTGGAGAAGAATAATAGGAAGGTTTAACCTTCTGTGCTGCCTTCTAAAGTGGTTTTTTAAAGACAGCTTTGCACTGGGCACTGGAGCCAGCTGTCACCTAGGTAAGCACTGGATCTCAGCTGCAGCCTTCCTGAAGGCGTCCACTCAAGTGCTGCATTCTCAGGGACTCAGACTCAGACAGGGGGAGCTTTTTTGTCTTTTTATTTTCCCCTGGCATAAGCAGCACAGAGTGAGGATAGCTTAGTGCTGCATTTTACACAAACAAATTGGTGGTCTTTTAAAATCAAGTAAAATGAGACTGCCTGGACCTATTATGGTTGCAAACTAACAATCATTTACTTTTATGCCACTTCACTATATTTATACATCCATGGGAATCTTATGTTGGCCTGGGTGGTTTCAAGAAATGTTGAAATAACTAAGTAGAAGAACCATATATTTACTTTTCAGGTGGATTATCTTCTTTTCCTGTCCCCTTTAAAACTTGCCTTGACTCAATTGAAGAGTGTAAAAACAAAATTCGGAACAAAGCACATTTTAACAGCAAAAGTGATCCGAATATCCCACCCTGTGCTTATTTTTGTTTGTCAAATAAATGATCTTATCCTTAAAAAAGGAAAAAAAAAGACGATGGACTGGGTTATTTGGAATATTGTAACATAACTACAAAAATTATTTGTTTATCCACCCATTAAGATGTTGCTGCTAAATTCTTGTGAAAAGGAACACTGAATGTCCATAGAGTCTGAAATGGTGATTCCCTATCACAAAGATCTATATTTAAAGAGCCAGCGTGCAAACGAGCACTCGTTAATCAAACTTAAATAACTGTGGGTTACACGAGCATTTTCATTCTGCCTTTTCCTCTAACTCTACGCTCTGTGCATTCCAGGAGCCACTTGTTTTTCCATTATTATTAGCTTTAAACCTCCCAATGTGTCTTTTGATTTTGATTTTTCTGAAAAGTTGCTTTTGAGTGCTGGATCACTGAAAATAAACATTTAAAAAGAAATTTAATTTTGGGTGAAATGATGTCACAAAATTTAATGAATATAAAATACCAGAAGAAAACTGCTGCCAAATTTACTTTTTCTCTTCTGGTGCAATCTTCTGCCTTAATATATCCTTTTTCGAAACACGGCTACTCACTATTTTGCTGATTAGATTACAAGTCTAAGTAGGGAACAATGTGTGCACACAGGCTACGGTCACTCAAGGCACCTGCAGTCAGAAGAACAGCAATGTGATTACTATGCGTCTAGAAAAATATGCCATACTTGCGTAGGAGAATGGGGCCAGAAACAGAGAAAACAGCTTTCGTGACGGTTCTGAAATATGAGCCCAAACAGAAACGTGTAATACGCCACCAAAAGTCTTTTTAAGATACACATACAGGACAGCTGTTGAAAGTCTTACACAGCATACAAGTTGTTAAAATAAAAATTTTCAAAGAGTCACAAAGAATCTCTGAGAGGAAAAATGTTGAAACAAGAATAAGAATTTAAAAACTGGCATATGAATGTGACCCGTACTGATATATGAACTACCCTAAGTCTGAACACATTCCTGGAATATTCCATCAGTATTACGTGGTCATTCTTAAAAGCCGGAACAAGCTCTGGAAGGCAGCCTGGGAGCTATACCTTTCCCTCGTGCCGGATGGCCGAGACAGGCGTGACTTCCTCTGCCTTCTTCCGTCTGTCCTCTTCCTCGTCCCGTTCCTCCTCAGCCTTTTTCTCTGGAGTCACAGTGGTGATCAAGTTGGTCTGAGAGATGCCCTTTGTTGTGGCGTACTGGCCAGTACCAACCTCTGCAGCAGACACAGAATCCTTCATGTATATTTCATGGTTTTCATTCACTGATGCTAAAAGCAAATACAATTGAAGAAACAAAATCTGAAATAGTGAAGTCAGAAGACAGATGAAAAACACCAATTGTCCCATTACTGGGAAAAAAAAAAGTACCACGACAAAATACCAGGTTTGTCTTGAAAAGCGAAATGAGCTCTGCAGGCACCTCTATCTAGGCACGACCGTAGATCCACCTTTCTGCATTACCTATCCCAGTGTTCTAACATTATGGAAATGCTTATGTCTTGAAATCCCAGAATAATTCTCATCCACTCTCAGACTCTCCAGGGAGAATGGGTGTGAGGGGGAGGTGAGGCTGTTACCCCAAGTCACTGGTGGGGCTTGAGCGTCGGCAGTTGGTGGCCAGTTCCACAACTAATACCAATATTTGCAGTAGACAATTGCTCTCATACACTTGACTTTGAACATATCTTTGGAAGTGCCCTTCAGCAAGGAACACCGAACTGGTTTTATTATTATTATCATTAATGTTGAAAAGTCTATCACTCCTATAATATAAGAGCCCCATGGATAATGACAATTTACCATCTTGCCAGAGATTATAAAATTCAGATGGCAATTCCATTCAACTAAAGAAATGTTTTAATTTCTATTGCCTTTTAAAGAGAGTACCATAATATGCATATACGTTTATTCATCTCTAATATTTTGGGAAAAACAAATGTTGTCAAATGAAATTCATGCAAATGCAAAACATGCAAACATAAGAGATATAAGATATAGCCTTTTGTCCCAGCTAAAATGTCTTAGTGAAAAAATGCTTAATTTAGTTAAATTTTAAAATTTGGTACCCACTCTTTTAGGTTTTAGATACCATAAAATTTATTAAAACTTATAAATACTGCTTTTCAAATAGACAGTAGCTAATCACAGATAAAATATAATCTGCAATTATATTTTAGGAACTTTAAAACATAATAAAAGAAAGGATTCTAAGATGAAATCCTCTCTGAAATCCTTTTAATAGCTAAACTATGTCACTAAAGTATCTTCACTAAGATATTTTGTATCTCTATACTGATGAAAAAGCTCATATGTGACACAGCTTCCAAATGGACCAGTTAGGCTATTCTCTGTAAGATGCCACCTTGCAAAAAAGCAGTTTATCTTGCAACATGCAGCCGTGACAGCCAGCTCAGCAGTGGCAGCAAACATACTAGGGCTGGCAGCACGGCAAAGAGTGAGAGACAACACATACTAACATCACTTTTGGGCAGGGAGGAAGAGACAGCATGATATTAGTACATTGATTGCACAATTGTCTTCTGTCTTCTCAGCAGTCATTATCACAAAAAAGGTCATGAAGAAAACAACACTGACAACAAATGTGTTCCCTGGGGTGCACGTCACTGAACAAAGTGGATGGTATTCAGGAAAAAAAGGTGTGGACTTTCTACAAAAGTTCCTCAAATACTGACTTACAGAATATACAAATAGTTAACAGAGATTTTTCTAAAGGAGAAAGAGAGTCAATGAGACAAAGCTTCAATGTTAACAGGGATATATCAGTATCTTCATTCAACTCAAAATATTCCTGATAAATATTTTATTCCACAGTGTTGGCTCTAAGTTTGATATTCCAGAAACTCTTAGAAGATACAGAATGGTAATTAACTTCCTAGGCCAACTCACAAAAGCCTATAAGAATAATTATCAATATAATCATTGAGATAATTATGTCTATAACAAGAGTACTTTCATATGTATCTGACTCACACTTCACAACAACCCCGTTGAAGGCTGCCTTACTCCCATTTTACAGATAACTAAAACTGAGGCCTGGAGAGATGAAATCATTTGCTGAGCCTCTTTGAGGAGCAGTGGCAAAAAAGGTGGGAAGGGAGATGGTCCCAGGCACTTGTAACTTTTATTTATGCTTTTGTTTATTATTAAAATCTTACACGCACACTAGAAACTTCGAACTCTTTATTTGCACAGGATAAGGTCCTGTATAAAACAACTACTCTCCAGGTGTCTGGATTAGAAGGCAGAGTCCTGGCCACGATTCAGTTCCTAAGTATTACTATAGCTGGCGCGCCTCGTAGCAGAAAGCACACTTCCACATTACTCTGGACAGCAACGTAAAACTGTTAGACAAGACAAAAACCTACTAAAAACTCATTGTTATCCCCTAAAAAGGCAACTTGAGCGATTATCTCCTTGTTTTACTTATCTGATTTGGCAGCACAGAGCCCTTACACAGCAATGTTCTCGGAGTCCACCTGGTGTAGTAATGAGTAGTAAGTAGGAGACTTTAACTTAGAGCCCTTTGCTGTTATTTGATGCCATCCTTTCTTCCAGCTATTATCAATTGGCTGATAAAGTCCACATTTTATTCATAAAAATTTTTTAGCAGAGATAAATTTAACTTACAGTTTTATGAAACAAATAGTCTGAGACAAACCTGCTAATCCTCTAAGATCTGCCGGCACAAGATTCAAATTACTTACAGAGTATGTGGCTACTATAGTTAGAATAAGAGCATCTTTCTCTAAATTCAGGGGGCGGCTTATGGAAGTTACTTTCTTCATTCCCTAAGTTCCATTCTTTTATGTAATTTTATACAGATCTACAGACATCAGACTGACAAAGACACTTTTTGGAGACTTAAAAATCTGCCGTTCAGCCACAGACCAACAACTGCTTTTCAATTTACAATATCCAAGAGGATCTCTGTTTATTGAAAGCTCATGGTGGTTTCACACCCTTTCTCGGGTAGCTGCTAAGGGCCAGCACGCGATGCCTACCTCCATCCAGGCTGCGAGACATGGTGTAACGCTTGCTAGACGATCGTTCAAAGTAAGGCGCCGGGCGGTCTATCAACGCGCTGGCTCTCCTTGTTTGGGCTTGTGTTCTGCCACTATAACGAAACTTGGAACCCAAGGTTAGGAATTTCTTTGGAGGTGCTTCTGGTAACAACAGTCTAAAGAGATTAAAGAAAAACACCAGAAAGACTAAGTCAAATATTAAGAATACTTTTTACTCTGTCATGAGAGGTAATATGCTTTGTGTGCTAAAGGTTTAACATATGACTTGCAGGTAAATGAATCTGATTTTGTAAAAAAAAATTAATTTACATAGTATATGTCAACTAGGGATGTTGTAGAGAGGATATAGACAAAACAGGGGTTGCATTACACTAGGTGAACTTTTAACCTTCTGTGCAAGTGGAAGGTCTATGGGTCCAATGGCAATTAAGTAGGTGATATTAGCAAAAACAAGAGTGACAATTTGTTATTTTGTAGGCACAAACTTGATGGGCCTAGAAATATATGTGGGTGAAGGAGTCCAGGGTATTGAGAAATTATTGAAATAGTAAGGAATGGATTGGATACTTGAAATGGACATCTTATTAAAAATAATAAAGAAGGTGGGTGGGGCAGATAAGCATATGATAAATTAAGGAAAATCCTTCAAGTTTAGTCAGAAGTTCTTTTTGGATTTTTCGTCAAGAAATCTGGTGACAATGAACTTAAAGGAACAGAAAGCATATGCTTCCATATTCTTCCCAGCCTTTTTCAGTATAAGCAATTCCAATTATCCCAATTCTTCCTCAGGGAAAAAACAAAATGGCCTCTACCTACCTGAAAAATGTATGGTGCTCGACACATACTTTCCATAAACGCTTGGCAGCTCTATGGTTTGGCAGCTTAAACCCAATGGTGCTTTCAAATTGTTCAAACTAAATTAAAAAAATACACTGAGAGTAAAGTTTGGAATTACAAATAACAGAACCCTGCAAATAATTTACAAGAACATAATACCACCACAATTTTTTATTTACACAGTAAATAAATTGCTATATGCACAATTCATGGTATACACATTAATTCATTAAAAAAACCTTATTATCTGTCTCCTTAAAATGCTGCAGGCATAGACGGATGTTATGCATGCGGTAAATGTTTTCAGCACAAGTATGGATCTTATGCAAACGAAACACACAGAAAAAAAAGAGAGTATTTGGATTCCTTCCAGAGATCGGTTTGTCCTGATCTCATTTTTAAGCTTTATTTTCGTATTTCTCAATGACACGATGACTTCAACTGGAATGTATAGAAATGAACAAAATGTTTACAAACATAGTCTACAGCGTTTTTAGAAATGACATTTTCTCCTAGTATCTGGCCAGGAAATACGCGTACTTCTTAGGTATTTGAGGACCTGGTGTCAGATACCGCAGATTTATGTGTTCCACCATGGATTATCACGATAAATGCTAACATCTCTCTATATTATACATAAGATCAGAGATGGGAAGAACATATTTTTCAACCTGTATATTTCAGATGATACTCTATTGGCCATTTGATTTTTCAAGGTGAAATATCTCATCTGATTTCCTGCATAACATGCTTTAATATCATTATTACAGGTGCACAATAAATTTTTATTTTCTGAGGAAGGGAAGCATCAGGCCACCAGAGGGCAATCATCTTAAACAGTAAAGACTTCCCCAAAGCACAAAACAGCTGGACTATTGATGTAATCTATAGCAAAAAGTAACTTATGTGGCAAAGAACCAAGGTGAGGGGTCATATGCACAGTGTGAGATGCAATCACGCTTGACCTCTATTTCGTGTGTGTTGAGATGGCTGGGGTACTTGGGAATTCATGTGCAGTGCTGGTTGTAAAAATCACTACTGCTCGAGTGACCCAGTCAAGACAGAAGTACTGTGGCTCTTGGCTACACCATCATCCATTTATTCATCCTGCATCTGATATGCACCACACACTATGCTAAGGCCAAGGGTTCTAAAGAAGAGTCCACTTGCTCTCTGCTGCCAAGAAGCTGGGAAGAGTCTCTTACTACGAAGTTACTTAGGCAAGGATGATACTACCCCTAGACTTTTTGAATATTTATCTCTTTGTGCTTTGAATCCATTTCTTTCAACCTCTTTAGAGCCCATGTGCCATGAATAATTTGTTCTTACTCATTCTTCTCAGCCTATAAATATGACGACAAAAAAGGGAGGGCAGGAAACCGACTTTCTCTGAGCCTGCGTCTGCTGGAACCACACCCCGTCTCCTCACCGCTAAGCTTCATGACAAAGAAGTCACTACCTACTGCCTCTGCAGCTCACTCCTGACCTCACCACACGCTGGGGGCTCCTCGCATCTTCCTGAACTCTGACATGTCATGATGGGACCTGTCAAGTTTAATGCGCTTTTGTCAGTCTGCATCCCACGCGCCCTCTCTGTAACACACAGCACTGCTGGTCAACAACCACTGTCCTCTGCAACTCAATTCCTGGTAATTCGTCAGTCTCTGTTCCTCCTCTTATTTCACCGGCCATTTTTCTTAATCTCCCTGTTTCTCTCCTGTCTGCTCTTCTCTCAAATAATGGTCTTATTCAGAGTTTTGGTTTTAGGGCCTCTTCTCTAACTTCCCTTGTGTGGTTTTTTTGTTTGTTTGTTTGTTTGTTTTTGAGACAGTTTTGCAGTGGCATCATCACGGCTCACTACAACCTCAAAGTCCTGGACTCAAGTAATCCTCCTGCCTCAGTCTCCCTGGTAGCTGGGACTACAGGCACACGCCACCATGCCTGGCTATTTTTTTCCCATTTTTTTGTAGAGATGGGGTCTTGCTCTTGCTCAGGTTGGTCTCAAACTCCTGACCTCAAGCAATCCTCCCATTTCGGCCTTCCAAAGTGCTAGGATCACAGGCGTGAGCCACCGTGCCCAGCCTCCCCTTGCTCTTTGAGTACCTTATTCCACGTCTAAGGCCTTCAATAAAATGTATACAATTGATAACTCTGTTACATTTCTTATTATGCAAAAATCACCCCCTGAAAATCTGTCCCAAAGGAATTTCAATCTTTTTTTGGAAATCCTCCCCCTTTTTTCCTCCTGTTTAATGTCATCTCTGTAGACTTGAGCATGCAAACTGAAAACCTCTGATTATCCTGGATTCTCCCCTTTTTAATCCCTTCCTCCATCTTGTCTCCAAGACCTACTGGTTCTGCCTGTGAAACTTCTCTCTCCAGTTTGCTCTCTCCATCCTATTCCCACAGCCTCTGCCCTAGTTTAGGTCTTATCACATCATATTATTAAGTAGTTGAATTTCATCAAGAAATTAATCATTCCAAAATATTCATCCAGTTGTGCCATGTCCTAATTTAAAACCTTCTGGGGTTCACTACTGTCTACTGATTTATTTCTCCAACTCTCCCTTCTGGCCTCTCACAACGCTACGCTCATGCCATGTCTACGGAGTAACATCGCACTCATATCACGGTGTTACCATTCAAAGTGTGAGTCTGTTTCTCTGCCAAATAGAGAATCCCTTAAGGACAGGAACAAGGTTATATTTATCTTTCTATTTCCAATGCCCAACATGGTGCCTGATAATTAATAGGTGCTCACTTAATAAATGTTCAATGAATTCTTTTGAATATATATTGGTTATAAGTTTAACATACAATCTTTAGGAAATATTGAAAAAACAATATAGTTTCAGAAATGTACATGAAAAGCTTACAGATTATTTCGGTCATCATAGACAAGTATGAGTTTATATTTACATTAACCATGATTGCTTGCTTTATATTCTAATTTTTTAAATTGCATTTTCCACCAAGAAACTCCTGTGGAGAGGTAGATTTTGAAGATGAGATAATTCTATATTGCACCAGTAAATGTTCAGAGATATAAATGAGCTAGAATGTTTGGGCTTTCATTGCCTCCATTATAGTAAGTATGCCAATTAGACATTGGAAGCATTTATTAACTGTTTCTTAAGCAAATAAAAGTTGATATTTACTCCTATTATGCACAAACCACTAGGGAGGATATTAATATAAGTTGATCATGGAGGCTGTTGCCCAAGGAGTAAGGATTAGTTAACAATTCTGATTCTTTCATTAGCTTCTCTGATCAAAAAAAAAGCCAAAATATACTGAACTGTGCAACATTGACGTAATTCACACTCATTGTCCTTTGTTCTAATCTTCTTCGTCCCTTTGAGTACGTGACATCTAAGCCATTCACTTTAGGGTACAACCAGATTTGCAGGACAAATCAAAAGGACATGGAAACATAACAAGGCACACAGGAGAGATCCATTCATCACAGCTTGAAATACACAGAAAATTATTCAGGAATCTGGATTTTATATTAAGATGTTTTTAAAAGCCAATTAATGCACATAGTAGGAAAAAACTGGAACATAATAAAGAAGAGAATGTTTTACTTACTACCGTTTACTGGACAAACCTACAGTAAGTTATCTCAGACATTAAGAGGTAACTCACCACGTTCCATGATGCTCCGAACTTACGAGCAGATGATTTAAATTTTTGTTTGCTATCAGGGACCTTCCTTCCCAATGTACGTACAAACGCAGGTATGCTTACCTCTCCCGGTCGGATCTTAATGTAAAAGTTGTTCCGTTTGTATGAAATTTTTAGAACCTTGGGCCAGGCAAACCTGTTTATTCGCAGTCGGTCACGATATATCAACAGACCACTTGCACAAACTCCTAACATAATTTCTACTCCTTCTGAATCCTGGAAAATAGCAGCAAGAAACAATGAATCAGTATCTCGCTTATTTCCACTTTTAGCTGGGTACAATATTTACCTGTACAACAGAACCTATAATTGACATTTAAATATGAAAAATACTGCAGCCATTTTTTAAACTGCCATTAAATAATAGCCTTTAAATAACAGCCTTTTAGTGAAGGTATTTATCACTACACAGATTTGTTAGAGTAAAATCTCCTTTCCCAGATATCTTAGATTTGCAACTTAAATACTGCACACCAGAAGGCCGGGCAGATGAAGGTGTGTTAATATCAGTAATAACAGTCACAGCTATTGCTTATTGAGTGCCAGGCACTGCTCTACATATGTGAATTCTTTTAATCTTCACTATGATATGGTGAGATAGTTACTATTATTATTCCCATTTTACAGATGAGAAAACTAAGGTACAGAGGTCCCCCTGAACATGGACAGCCTGGTGCCAGAGGCAGTACTCTTAACTGACATGTGTTCTAACAAGATGGGCCCTGTCCTTCCCTATGAGGGTTTTGGGTTTCGTTCCTTTAAAAAGAGTCTTGCTACACCATTATTTTTTATACACCATTACTGTCAGAGAGAAATTTCAATATGAAATATAATAGCTTTTTAAAAGTATCAATGCACTCCCCCCAACAACCTCGTTCCCTCCTACACAAACACACTGTCCAGTGGTAATCACATTTAACAACATAAATATAAATAAATTCTATATATATAGTTTTATATATATTTTGTGTATAGTTTTTTTTAAAGAGATCACATTAAAATTGCAACTTGCTTTTGCTACTTGCACATTACTTCATTTTTAAGTAACTTCCTAGGGATGTGTGCTGCCTGGAGGTTGGAGACGTTATAGCGAACTCAGGCAATATACCATACGTAGTCTTTCCCTCCTCAACGCTGCATTCCATTGAAATCAGGTCAAATGAACAGCTCCGGGGGCCCCGAATGGAGTAAAAAGACAGGACAGAGGCAGGACTGTGTGTGAGGTGAGTCTGCCCCTTGTCACACGGATGGCTGGAAGGAGGGGACAAAAAGGGTCGTGGGCTGGCCACACATAGGAAGCTACGCTCAGATCTTATGGCACACAATTGGCAGGGCTGTCCCCAGCTTTGAGTCACTCTGCAGCACCAGCAGAGCAGCGGGGAAAATAGAAGAATCCAAACAGGAGATGCTGACTCGTCTATATCGTGGGAATTTACTTCCTCAATCCTGTCCCTCCCTGCAAGGCACAAGATGGACATTTCCAGAATCAGAAATACATTGGTTCATCTTTGGGAAATGTACACTTACAAACGGAACATAATTGGTCTAAAATGAAATATTTTACCTTGGAAACATATCATTCCATTAGATACCAAATTACTCTACAGGAGAGGAAAGATTTGATGACAGGATATTACAATATAATAAAATTTGAGGAGAACTCAAAGACCAGAAACTGCCCACCATTTATTGAGGGCTTTAATTTGAAAGAGCAATTTAAATAGCTATATATAACCTGATGCTGACAAGGAGCTGTATTATTGACCTGTTAGAATGAAATCAGCCAATCTGTTTGCCCGGCCACTCAGAGGGACCACCTCTCGCCACAGACATGAGGAAGGACCGCTGGAAACTCTTTGCTTCGCTCTCTCTTTGATAACTATAGAATATAAGTTTAGGAATATGTTTTTGACCTACAGAGGGAAAGGACATTCAAAACCTTTTTCAGGAATAGATAAGAAAATGTTTAAATCGACCATTAGTGCCTTTGAATCAGAAGAAAACAATATCCCTGGTGGGGAAGACGAGGAAGGCTCCGATGCCCCCTCTTCCTGTCCTCTCCAACAGAGGCTTCTGTGTTCCCAAGTCAGTCTGTTATCTCTAGCACACCCTTAGCAAGTGGCGCTGACATAAACTCTCACTCGTCTTCCTGCTCCTGGCCAGCGAGAGCTGGCTGAGAGCAGGAGCTGTTTCACCTGCGACCTCAGCGCCAGCACAGAGCCTGCCTCGCGTGTACTCAGCACGACGAGTTTACTGAAAGAAAAGGTGAACGAGAAATAAAAACGGCAGGAATAAGTGGGATTTTAAACGGGATCAAAGTCTCCATTTCATTAATTGCACAGCAACAAAAAACCCCAATAATTTTCACAACAAATTTCCTAACACAGCCCCTAGTATTGAGATTAATTTGGTAAATCTTTTGTTTTAAACACTGTAACAACAGGCTTTCTTGGGGACATGTGCATTTCACTATCAATAAATATGTTTATACTCCCTTTAGCTGGGAGCACTGAGGGTAGATTTGGACAGTCTCAGTCTAGCATCATGAAAATAAAGGGGCACATTATAATATTTCCTTAATTTAAAATCACTGTTCAAATTTTGCCATCCTTCAATATCACTTTGTCCATGAGATATCCCATATAGATTTATTTAAATCTATAAATATAGATCTATATTCAGAATCTTATGTCAAATAAATGACTCTGACAAAGACTATTAAGACTGACATTAAGTGACAAACAAGGAGAGGCAGACTTCCAAAGAAAAAACGAAGCATTTAGAATAGGTCCTCCAAAACACATTTAGAAGAGGTTTTCCAAAACGTAAGAGCTTCATCTAATATGGGTATTCATTCTTCATACAGAGCTGTGGAGTCCAAGATCACAATTCAGAATTTCTAAATGGATCATAAAGCTCAGAGCATTTCATACCATCAACAGTAGAAAAGCATCTTGCTTAGAACCGGAAATTAGCTCTAATTCAATTCAGTAAATTTCCTTCTTCAAATGATGGAGTGTGGTTGCATGGGAAAATGGAGTCTATAACTGAATTATGTGTTATACTTAATATTCAGATAAAATCCTATAACAGCCTGGATTTGCACTTCCTTAATTCTCTTTCTTTTGAATTGGCATAATTTCAAATCACATTACAGAATGAAAAAGCAGCCATCTATTTTAATTCAGTAGCTATAGCAATGTTAAGTGATTTTATTTTTACTGATAGAAACACTGATGCATCCTGAGCTGCACTTCCTTAAATGTATACCCTAATCTTTTATTTACTTTTTTTTTTTCTGGGCAGTTAGTGAGTCAGAATTCATGACGTAACTCAAAAATAGCTTCAGATCCACTCAAATACTTAGGCTACCTTCCTTTCCTTTTTGCTTCCTTATCTTTGAGCCACCTAGGGAAAAATTCTAAGAGAAATAAAAAAGAAAAAACCTTGGTGTCTGTCTTCATTTTATTTTTAAACCCTCACCCTACCTTATGCCCTGCATAAAACGGAAAACATCTCTGTTATCTGAGTGCACAATAAGTGAAAAAATATTAACAACCTGCAAGTAAACAGAGCTACACCTGCTGTTGTAATTACACACAAATGTCAAAGAGGTTGGCATTTAATGTACCAGTGTATCCCTGGTACGGGTCCCAGCCACGTCTCAGGGATTTTGCTAGTACTCGGGCCTTGGGAGTACTCACCCTGGGTGATGTACACAGTGATCCCCACACAAAACCAATCAAACCTGCACTGGGTCAATGGCCACCACTCCCCTGTCCAAACTCACTGTGGATTAGTCTGCTCCCCTAACACCAACCAAAGAGCCGTCCGACTTCCAGCATCAACAGAACCCAGAGTGGGTTTTCAGGGTCGTGGAGATGTTTACTTGAGCAGAGCCAGCTGAAATTCTCTTCATTTCTAGGCCCTAAACCTGACTGCGTAAGACATTCACTTGCTTGGAAACCTGTCACTGCACGTTCTTGTGAGTCCCAGACCGTGAAATTGGAGGCTAATGCTGTCTATCAGAAGTCAAACACACATCCCTACACAGAAATGGTGTTATCTTGTCAGCCCCCATCAGAAGAAACTACCTCTGAACTTTAAACATTGACCCTTACACTGCTGAAGTGCCAGCGTCCATGTCTAGGATCCTAACACATTTTGCAAGCTTTGCTGATAAAAGTTTTCATAAAAGCTTCTCTGTATTTCCACAGGACTTTTATTCATGGCTGTTTAAACAGTAGACTAGTAGTGCGCATGTGTGTTTGCTCACTACTGAGAAACACAGGGATTCTAGAAAGGGCATGACACAAAGTCCAAGCTGCTCTATGCGTCCTCATGACTGTCACCCTCCTACGATCTAATTCCAACTTCTTTCTTCCCAAGACACTCGACCTGATATACATCTTTAACATTCCACTGATCACAAGTCAGAGAGGCAATCTGTTGGCCATCCAGAACGGGGGCGTAGACAGTACCTGGCATGTAAGAGATGTGACCCTCGGGTCTTGGACAACTGGACAGGTAGACAGAGAGGAAAGAGCAAGACGGTCAGAGACAGGCATATTCAGGGAAGGGCAGAGATGGGGACGTGGGGAGAGCAAAGAGCACGTGTCGGCAAGTGGGAGACATGATTGTGACAGGAGACGCAGGGGCTCGTGGGCTCAGAGCTTGTATTAGGTCAAGATCAGTGTCTAACTGCATCAACAGACAATCAGAGGCGCTGCCTGTCGACGGCTTTCAGTGGGCTGAGCCCGTGAGTAATAACAGTTTGAGCCATGAAGAGCAAACCCCTCGGCAAATATCAGAGAGCTAAATTTGTTGTATCACAGAGTAGGGCTTAAAAGGCAAACACAGATTTGAATCCCCAACGTTTTCATTTACATTAACTGAAGTAAAAGTCACCAGATTACAGCTATAACATTAAATAGAAAGTTTGGGGCTTAAAAATGCATACCTTGGCATGGTGTAAATCTACTCCGTACATGGACAGTTTTTTGGCATTTTCCAAGAAATGCATCTCTGCTTCTGCTGGCGTCATTCCTCTGATAAGAAAAAAAAAATGTTAGAATGCTGCTTTTCCTTCTTTATACTAGTTAGCTGCTTTTCCTGCAGCTGGTGGGGCTATAAAATTTCCCACTTGGCTCGATCCTATCTAACAAGAAAGCCCCCACCCATCCGGGCACCAAGAGAGACATGCTGTGCACCAGCAGGTAGACGGGAAAAGAATAACAAGGAAAACGGCTTTGAAAGAAGACAAGACACATGAACGCCTGGATGTTCTGAGTGAGAGCTCACCTACCCCAGAACTTTACCTGTGCACATTCTTACTCTGCTCAAGTCCCATTCTTAATGGACTCAGACCAACACTGGAGGAGACGGGTGGCGTGAGGGACGCCCACTAGTCAAGGCCCAACTCAAAAGGGTGTTCTCAGGGTTTCCTCCACTAACCTGTGGCTCTTGTGTAGCTCAATCACTTTGTCTTCCAGCTCTTTAGTGTGGTTTGGTGCAAAGCGGAACTCACTGATGTAATCGCTCCCACATTCATCGGGGTCGTAGTCTCCAAGTTCTGACTGGACGGTGTAGGAGCCCAGCAGGGCCAGGGTGACAAATGAGCAGGGCAGCCTTCCGGACACGATGTCATCGCGCAACTGTAAGCAGAGGTAGTACCTTCCGGGAGCCAAAAGGACAACACAAAAGGCCAGCATGAGGATAGATGAAAAGGAGATCATTCTGTGTAAACTGTGGGTAATTTCTCCCTGAGTAACTTCGGTAGGATAAATTTTCTATCTACAGAAAATATAATTTCATCTATATTTGATATAGAAACGAGGGGAAAATACTTGGCTACGAAATATAATATTTAAGGGCATCTAGAAACAAGTCAATGTTTATAATAAAACAGGGTTTTATTAACAAAGACAGTAAAAGAAATCTACGGACATATTATTCTAACATTTTTTAAAGTCAAATGAACAGTTCCCAACACATTCCCTGAAATTCTTGGCTGGGGAAATTATAGTATGAAAACGATGCTCTTAAATACAGTCATGAGTTACATGATGACGTTTCTGTTAATGACAAACGGCATATATGATGGTCCCATAAGATTATAAGACAGCTGAAAAATTCCTATTGCCTAGTGACACCGTAGCTGTCTTAACGTCGTAGCAGAAGGCATTATTCACGTTTGTGGTGATGCTGGTATAGACAAACCTACTGCGCTGCCAGTCATATAAAAGTCCAGCACGTATAATTATGAAACAGTTAATACTTGATAATGGTAATAAATGACTGTTACTGGTTTTTGTATTTACTATACTGTATTTTTTATCATTATTTTAGAGTGTACTCCTTCTACTTAAAAAAAGTTAACTGTGAAACAGCCTCAGGTAGTTCCTTCAGGAGGTATCCAGAAGGCTCTGTTGTCAAAGCAGATGACAGCTCCATTCCTGTTATTGCCCCGAAGACTTTCCAGTGGGATAAGATGTGGAGGTG